TATCTAATTTCTAATGTTTTATGTGCAGATTAAATAGGTTAAACTTTTGGCTAGTCTCCCGAGGCCACAGGTGGGCGCAATGAGCAAAATAATGCAGCGCATTAAATTGTCAACGCAACGAAGTAACTGTCTATAAAAAAAACGTGCATTATGTCTACATTAACTCATATAAATCAAATATAATTTCGTAAATTGCATAAACAATTATGAACAAAACAGCATCACGTATTTATGCATTGCTTAATCCAAAGAGCCGAAGCGCCATTCACACAGACTGCATTTAAAAACATATGAGACGCAGTGAAAAGGAATAAACCTCCACAAAAATGTGCGGCGTGTTTTCTTAAAGTTTAAAATGTTTTAACTTTGCATGGCTTTCTATACATCTCTTGTGTGAGACGTGAGTGCAGCAGTCATATTTGTCTGTCTAGAAAATGTGCTGAATATGCATCTGTGTGAAGGGCTTGGTTTCGGTTTTAACCTAATCAAGATCTTCGTATATGTATATGTTCACATGTGTAGCAGCGCTGACATTCACTCTGCATGCCACATTACTTCTCAGTGACATGCTAGTTTAAACTAACCTTCCAGAAACATTTATGGTTCTTGATGTGATCAAAGCTGCTGCTCTCTGACTTCATCAACACAGCTTTAGCTGCTTAAAACATGCTGAAACCTGCTAACTGTGCTACAGCATTCAGTGTTAAAGCCTTGCTGCTGGAAAATCCAGCTAAAGCCTGCTGAAAGTGGTCTCTGGAACATAACAGGGGGTTTGTAGTTGTTCCTCGCTGGTTTAGCTGCTTGGCTGGTAGATCTTCAGCCTGTCACAACAGCTGTATTTTGGAAAAGTAGATTTGTTGCTGGTCTGCCAGCTCTTTCCAGCGTGACACTCAGTCAGTCAGATCTGGGAGCAGATTCAACCATAATTTGTTTTTAACACTTCAAATAAGTTTTTTTTTCTCGGTCCTCCACGGCACAGGAGCCCAGGCTGCTGGAGTTCAGGCCGCGGCAGGGTCCCCTCGCTGGAGGAACCAAACTCACCATCCACGGCCAGTTCCTGGACGCTGGATCCACTGTCAACGTCGAGATCAACCGGACTCAGAACTGCACCGTCTTCATGTGAGCGCGTGTTCGTGGCGGGTCGTGTTTCACTGATATATCACTCATCTGCTGCTCATCACGTCTGTGGTATGCTTCTGCAGGCTGTCCAGTGACGTCATCGAGTGTGTGATGCCTCCAGCCGAAGCGGCCGCCGCTGAGAACGTGTCGGTGTGTGTGGTGTATGACAGCCAGCCGTGCCTCAGCGCTTCACCCAGCTTCACATTCACCTACGAGAAAAACCCTACTATCAGTCACATCAGACCCAACAGAAGCTTCCTCAGGTACTGAACCTGCAGAAGTCTAGTGTTGCTGTTCATAACCATTTACTGTAGACTCTGCATGGCATGGGAAACAGTATGCATTATGCAAGCCGGTTCATTCATTACATTGGAAATGGAAGGTCTGGTTGAGTGCATTGCATCGTGGGATACAGTATTTTATGCAGGGTGGTGTGTTGTTTACTGCACATGTTGGCCACATTTCTACTGTATTCTACTGCATGCTGTGCACAATACAGCCTACATGCTGCAGAATCTAGTATGCTGTTCCAAACACAGAGATCTTCTATGGCTTTACGTGTGACTTAGATCTCCATTGCTCTGAGTTAATGTAATTGTGATGGTGTTGCAGCGGTGGTCGCAGTATCGCGGTCACTGGACACGGCTTCAATCTGGTGCAGTCTGTCAGGATGGAGGTGTCTGGAGTCGGACAGACGGTGAGATAAATAATGCTTTGTTTATTGGATAGAGATCAAAGTGCTGGTGTGTGTGTGTGATATTTCAGTCTGTGCGCTCGTTCATCTGGATGTCATTTCCGCAGATCTGCTCCTGTGTGTCGTCTACTCTGATCGTTTGTCAGTCTCCTGCCGCAAATCAATCCCAGCAGGCCACGGCACACTTCTACCTCAACGAGGTGCTGTACAGAGGAGAGGACGCGTCTCCATCAGGACGAGGGCCGGACGAGGACGAGGAGCCTCACGCTGATGCCTTTCACTTCGAATATGTAGAGGATCCGCAGTTCTATACGGCCAACAAAGAGAAACTCATCAAACATCATCCTGGAGAGCCTCTCATCCTCATCATCAATGTGAGTGTGTGTGTCGATCATCTAGACCTAGACGGCATCTTAAACTAATCATTGAAACAAAAATGAAAACATACACTCCTTCAGGTGATCATAGATGTAGATGAGTTTGTTTGTTCATTGGAACAGATTTGGAGAAATTGCATCAGTGTCTCAGCAATGGATGCTCTGCAGTGAATGGGTGCCGTCAGAATGAGAGTCCAAACAGCTGATAAAAACATCACAATAATCCACAAGTAATCCACAGCACTCCAGTCCATCAGTTAACATCTGGAGAAGACAAAAGCTGAAACAAATCCAGCATTAAGACTTTTTATTAATTTTAAACCATTGCTAAAATATGAGTCCATAATCCATAATAACGCTTCCTCCAGTGAAAAAGTGAATTATGCGTTATTATGGATTACTCACTCACTCACTCACACACACACACACACACACACACACACACACAGACACACAGACACACACACACACTCTCACTCACTCACTCACTCACTCACTCACTCACTCACTCACTCACACACACACACACAGACAGATGTGGTAAGTGTTGGGGAAGTCCAGATCTGTGTGGCAGGATGTTATGAGTTTCTGAGGGTCAGACAGGAAGTACCTAACGGGCGCAGAAGAGCCAGGGAGTTTTATTTTCATTCTCTCCTAAAGAATTGGAGAGGAAGGAAGGAAGGATGAAGACGTGAAGCCGGTGTCTGTGTGTTTGCAATCAAAGACTGCGGCTAATTATCATAGGACGTTTAGTTGTTCATATTTGTGTTACACTGTGTCCTAAACAGCTGTGATGAGTGACAGGACATTCCGTCAATCACATGGTTTGTGTTTCCACTGTGAAATACTGGAGAGAATCCTCCATCACTTATAGTATCTGTATATTTAACATAGACACATAGTCTCATGAAGCGTTTGTGTGCTGGTGTGTCAGAAAGGGCCGAGCGAGCTGGACCTGATGGATCTGACGCTAATCACGCTACAGCGTAAGCATGTTCATCACTGGAGACTCTTATCTGCTCATCAACCAGCACGGGAACTTTCTTTAGTGTGCTCAACATCAGACACCAAAACAAGCGCTGATCAAGCCCTGAACCGCCCTTATATCAGCACGCCTGTTTTCATGACTGAAATCCCCTGCTCTTTGTTTGGTCTGATTGTGAAACAGCAGCAGCTATATTTAACACGCTGCGATCTGAAGGCCGTGACGCAGCTAATGAAGCAGAGAGAGCACTGAATGTCTGAAGAAACACACGTCAACAAACATCTGAGTCTGAGCTCCAGGCAAGCATTCAGAGCGCTTTCTCATGACGAATGCTGTTTCATGGGAACGGGAGCACGGCTGTACGTTTGCACTGTGTTTATGCCACATGTATAGATCTGCATTCTGCCGGTTTTCCCATGTTTTATTAACAGCTCTAATGGAGAGTGACTGCGAACATGGAGATTCTTCCATCATGTCCATCCACGTCTATATGACTCTCATCTGTGGAACACATAAGATAACGTAAAGGATCTCTGAACGGAGCATCATAAAAGTAGCCCAAGACTGTTGATTCAAGTGATCTGAAGCCGTGTGACAGATTTATATGTGAGGAATAGACCTGACTATCATTAATTTGCTGAAAACCTTCTTTTCCACCACGGTTGTTCTTTCTACAGCACCGTTCCAGTCAAAATCATTTCAGTTGGTTATTGGATTCTGGATGGAGTGTTTTGATCACTGGGAACACAAGTGACGAGCAGCATTCAGTTTAAAATGTGAGAAGCACAGATGATGGCAGTGTTCAGAAAGACCAGGTGATTTCAACAGACTCAAACACAATATCAGCGCTGGCCAACTGTGAACAAACCTCTGCAGAGACAGAAGAGTAGAGCAGAATAGAATAGAATACAATAGTCATAGTCATAGTCACCTTTATTTATATAGCGCTTTTAACAATACAGATTGTGACAATAACAATACAATACAATAGAATAGAGCAGAATAGAATAGAATAGAGCAGAATAGAATAAGAATAGAGCAGAATAGAATAGAACAGATCAGAATAGAATAGAGCATGATAGAATTGAATAAGAATAGAATACAATAGAATAATAATAGAATATAATAGAATAGAGCAGAATAGAATAGAATAGAATAGAATAGAATAGAACGACAGTCAGACACTCCAGGATGATGGGACACTCGTGACGGTCCTCTGTTCTGTGTGTGTTTGAGCTTCATTTGTGCTTGAGTCTGATCTTCCACGGGTGTGTTGCAGGTGCGTGTGGGTCATTTCTGTAAGGTGATAGCGATGGTTCAGATGGGTGGAGGCAGTGAGCTGGCCATCGTCATCTCCATCGTGGTGTGCTGTGTGCTGCTGCTGCTGTGCACTGTGGGTACGTCTCTCTTCATACACACACTCATCAGACAGCAGATTTGTGATGTTACAAACCTGTAGAGATGCTCAGATGTTCTGGATGACCTTCGGATCGTCTCAGATCCTGCTGAAGATCAGGATCATCAGCTTTAGAGAGACACACTGAGACAATCTGAAATCCACGTACAGTTTCAGTTCAGCATCTCACTCTGATGATTATGATTGTAATGCACTTTGTACTGGTTTTTAATGCAGAAGAGAAGCATTTCCACTAGTGATCTCTTGGACTGTTTGTAAGCTGTTGTACGTGTGTGTTTCCAGCATGAATAACCCCTTTGTGTGTGTGTGTGTGTGTGTGTGTTCAGCGCTGGTGGTTTACTGCACTAAGAGCCGCAGGGCAGAGAGGTATTGGCAGAAGACTCTGTTACAGATGGAGGAGATGGAGTCCCAGATCCGTGATGAGATACGCAAAGGTAACTAACACACACACACACTCACTCACACACACACACACACACACAGCGCTAGTTCCAGAATCAGCTTGTAACTTTTCACCACAAACCACTGCTTCACATAGACTGTAGTGTGTGTGTGTGTGTGTGTGTGTGTTCTGGTATATATGGTTTATGAGTATGAGATTATACAAATGTGTATAATGAAATGGGTACTACAACGTAAACATGGTTTATGAGGTTTACCCTTCCTGTGTCCCAGTAACCCAAAAGGCTTAAAAAACATACTAAACTGTGTTTTTTGAAAGTCAAAAAATGCCTGTAGTTTTATGTAAGGGGCAGGGTTAGAGTACGAGGATAGAAAACGCACTAGAAAAAAACATTACGGAGAGTCCCCGTAAACCACATATGCAAGAATGTGTGTGTGTGTGTCTGGTGTGTGTGTGTCCAAAGCCATTTAAAAACCAACCTCTTCATATTAACACTGTAAATTATATTCTCACAGTGAATCAGAGTTTGAGCTGAAACACACAAACAGTGTTCAGACAGAAAACTCAATCACTGTAAGAATGCATGACACATCCTCAACGGGGAAAACAGTTCATGCATGAAACGAAGAGCACATCTTTTTCTGCATACTCTGATGTTTTGTGTTGGGGTTGATGTTTGTGGTTTAGTCACACGTGTGATGGCAGCCGTGTGTTTGTGTGTGGCAGGTTTCGCGGAGCTGCAGACTGATATGACGGATCTGACTAAAGAGCTAAATCGCACACAGGGAATCCCCTTCCTGGAGTACAAGCAGTTCGTCACACGCACCTTCTTCCCCAAGGTTTGATCGCTACACACACGTGCCATTACACATGTACAAGCCATGAATTACAGCTCAATGATGGAAAACACGAGCAACACTGAACTTACAAGATTAGATAGAGTTGACTGTTTGGTGTGTGATGTGCTTAAATAGATACTCAGAGATGTTTGTCAGTATTATCTCAAGAGTTGATGTGAACTGTAAGTCGCATTTAAATGTATGAATGCCTTTGCATTGCATATCAAACCAAGTGATGTTTATTTTAAAGGAAGAAGCACAAGCACACTTTTTCAAGCAAAACATCAGAGAATTATTAGAATTATGACACAACAGATATAACGGAATAGATATCGTGACACTTTCCGTCAGATGCTGGTGGATGATGTTGGTCGTTCATGTGATTCTCTACACTTCATACATCTGCTGAAATCCTACAGCCATACTAAAGATCACTGTCAGAGCAACTGGTGAAAAATGCCTGGATAAACTAAAGCTAGTTGTGAGGAACCTCTAGCATTATCTGTCTAAACACGACACTTGGTCTGATATTTCTATATGTGAAACTGGTCTTTTTTTATTTGAGACACTGGATTGGAGGATTTGTCCATCGTACAAATGATTTGTAGTTTATTAAAGAGTTAAAAGTCTTCAGCCAGGGCAGATACAGGACTATTATCCCCTACTCTCCAGTGAAAACCGCAAATGTTGCAATTTTCCAGTCTTAGTGACTGCACAATACTGGGCACAAAGACAAGAAACTCCTGAATACTCCCTCCAGCGCACTGACACAACAGACAGCATTTAGGGGAATTCTGTGTGTGTTTGCTGCTAATAGACTTTTACTGTGAGCTCAAACACACTGCAGTCCTGCTCTGCCTAACCTGGGATGGGAATCAAAAGAGACTTGACTCTGATTCAGTTCCAGTGCTCCACTGATGTTAAAGGTGACATATCATGAAAATCTGACTTTTCCAGGTTTTAAGTGCTATAATCCGGTCCCCGGTGCATCTACCAACCAAGGAAACGTGAAAAAGATTAACCCAGTAACTTTGTTTTGGGAAGCCTTTTTCTGCAAGCGTCTGAGAAAACTAATGTGTCTGATTTCGCTCTCTTGGTGACGTGGCAAAGGGATCTCATTATAATATTACCGCCCCTTCATCTGTAAGTTTACAGCCAGGGGCGCCATCGTTTTGATTTCACAAGAGCTCTAATGCTACGGTGAAAGTTTGAGCAAAACATGCTAACTGTTCTGTGTTTGGCTGCACAGACGAGCACAGAACACTGTTTAGAGAGAAAACCGTATATCAGAAGTTTAAACTCGTATGGTTTAAAACGCATGATTTCAGCGTGATAAACATGATAATCAGAACCAAAAAAGATTTTTTTAGCAGGTACGAGCTGTAATGGCGCAGCTCTATTCTATAAAGGGGGCGGGGAGCAGCAGCTCATTTGCATTTAAAGAGACAGGCACGAAAAACAGCGTGTTTCTGCTTCCACTCAAAATAGGCATTTTCAAAATGATATAACAAATGATCTGTGGAGTATTTTGAGCTGAAGCTTCAGACACATTCTGGGGACACC